AATATCAATTAAAACAATTAAAGCTTGGAGGGACGTACTGCTTATTGAAGGAATCGTTAATAACGCTGATGTTCTAGCAGAGCTCTAGTCTCATGGTGCTATCCATTTGTCTCATAAATCCCCCGGCCGCGTTGGAAAGTGTAAATCTCGCAGCTATCTTGCAATATTTCACCGAGACACACCCCCTTTTGGTCGTAATTTCAGCCGTCCCACTCGGGGCTCCTCAGAGTTCCCCCGAGCTAAACGAGGGTGAAAGTAAGACTCGCAAAACAAAGATGGCTGCGCCCATATTTCATGGTGTTGAAATTTATTTTCTTTGTATTTGTACTACGTTGGTCGTTTTAATGTCGATTTTAAACTTACACACTGTTTACATTGCTGCTTTAGTCCGGTCACCAATTTATGCATTGCACGGTGTTGTTGTGCGTGCAATACAATGTAATGTTTTGTTTTCGAGCTGGTTTGCTAAATAGGCTAATGTAGCTAACAATAACACTAGCCTGCCACTGCCCCTGGTGGCCCCTGGTGGCCCCTGGTGGCTCTTGGTGGCCCCTGGTGGCCCCTGGTGGCCCCTGGTGGCTCAAGACAAAAGCCACAGCACTTCTTGAAATAGAAATAGGTGAAAATGGCAAAATATTATTGAAATGTAAGACTTGCAATAATGGAATTACTTGAAATGTTAGTGTTTCTGTAGAAAAACATTATTATTATTTCACATTGAGCTTGTCTAGATGATCTACAAACAATAACAACACAGCTGCTGCACTGGTGGCGTCCATGTTCTTTCCGACTCGTAATGCCCAAAGACAAATGGATCGCTATAAGTGGTACAAGCCAGGCAATACTTCACGTTCTCGTGTCAGAGCAACTCAGGCGGGGGATTTATGGATAGCACCATTAGATTAGGGTTTCAAAAACTGTGAAACCTAATCTTCCCTCAGGGAACTTTTTAATGATAAGTCCTTTTGACCTTGATGTTTGATGTATCCAGACATTATTTGTTTCTTCCAGATAAGAGATTATATTATCAACTGATTTTAATGTTTCTGTTATTGAACAACATATTTTGTAAAGTAGGAGATCAATCAGTGTGCTGTACAACTATTTGAGAAAATTCCATAATACAATAAAATATGGCTGCACGATAGGGTAAAAACATCATATTGTGTTATTTTGACAGATTGCTGTATGATTTATGATAAATGATGGAAATGATTTGCATCACATACATTTTCACTCAAAAAAAATGTTAAAATCATTATAATGTTTTGGCACCTGTACCAAACAAACAAGGTTTTATTATAATACTGTGTGTCACACATTTTAGCTTTATTAAAATATTGCAGCTCTTATGATTTGCATATTGCGATTTCAGATATATTTTGATTAATTGTGCAGCCCAACAATAAAACATATTTGGTAAGAAAGTGTTCAGACAGTAAAATTAGATATAGCAGCTACAGTTTGTCACCTGTTACTCTAGGGAGAATTTCAGCTCTTTTTAAACTCACATAATGTCTGAGACCTGGAAAATAACTGCGTATATTTTTGGCATCACCGCTTCTGGTGGGATTTATACCCCTAACCCCGACAGCATTGGCGCCTTGCTCCACTAAGGGAATTCAACCTCACCCTTGTGTCACTGTGCAGCTTGTGAACCTGTGAGCGGAGATGTGCTTTAATCTCAGGTGTGACTCCTCCGAGGGTTGAGATGTAATATGTATGAGCTATATGTAGATGTGAAGAGGAGCAGCTGGACTCTGACAGACCCTGAAGGCGACTCAGCTCATTAATGGACTAATCAACGGAGAGGAGGTGACACGAGAAAAGAAAAGTCAGAAGACACAGACATTAGGGAGAATGTAGGACCACAGACCGACCACAGACCAACTGACACTCTTAACAGACCCAAGGAGAATATAAAACCAGAAAAAATTAAAACCACTGTACAGACCAATTTGGAGGTGCAGTTGTTTGTGGTGACAAAAAAACAGTGTAAACAAGTGGAGCTGCACTCTGGAAACAACAATTTTTAAGTGACAGTTTAAATCAATAAATTGACAAATGAAGAGAATCCGGTGGCCCCTAATTGTCGACTTAAAGGCTAGGTGAAATAAAAAATATAATTTTAACCCAATAAGATCACAACCTCAATTACATTGTTCCTCTTTTTATTAATGTATACCAAAACATTTACAAAAAATTATTTTTATAGGCCACAGAACCAGAGCGGGGTGGACATACAGAGGCCGGCTGATTCCCAGCGGGTCCGATCAGGACTCTGAGAGGAATGAAACGGAGGAAGAGGAGCCAGTTTGTAGCCAGTTAATTAGTCAGCAACTGTTTACATTATCCATCATCCATAATAATAATCGTATTAAAATAAAATAATAATTAAAAATAATAAACGTTTGACGACCTGTTGACTATTGGCTTTATTTAACGAATGACATCACATTATGACATCATATCTGATTTGAGGTTAAATGATTAAGAAAACTTCATGAAGCCAAACTTAAAGTGGCTTTAACTCCTGTCATCTCCTCGTGTCTTTGAACTGCGTTACCCAGAAGCCCCCAGCAGGTGACCATGACAGGAAGCCTCATTAGCAAGTCCAAACTTAGAGTCCAGTAAAAGACGAGCTTCAGTGACATGAAACGGAGAGCAATGAGAGATGAAAGCTGTGGGAGGACTGAAGGCTAATTATCAAGCCTCACTTTAATGACAGGGACAGAAGAAGAAGAAGAAAAGGTGACAGGAAGTTGCAATTATCACCTGCCAGTGGGGACCGGGTGCAGATGTTTCTGTTTTCTTTGTGCAGTGGTTTTTGCCGTCGAACACAAATCAAGATGCCTGAACATTTGTTCATTCCAGTGTTGACATCTGGTTGGAACAGAAGTCATCTTTACTTGTATAAATGAATACATAACGAAATGAATCCACAACTGTATTCAACATCCTTTAAAGTCCAGGTGAAATTAAACATTTATTTTTAACCCTTTAAGATTGCATCCTCAGTTATATTGTATGACAAAAACATTCATAGAAAATCCAATTCTTTGTATTTTTATTATCAGAATCCAATCATTGTGTCTTCCTGTGAAACAAAATGTGACACGTGCTTACGTCAGCATGAACTAACTAATTTCAACCAATAATATCACGACGTTAATCAATCTTCAACTTTTAGGGACACAGAATTTAGTTAGCTAGCTAGCGGAGCTCACTGATAACAGTACAAACACTAATGTAGCTGCTGTTAGCTAACTGCTAATGTAGCTGCTGTTAGCTAACTGCTAATGTAGCTGCTGTTAGCTAACTGTTAATGTAGCTGCTGTTAGCTAGGTGATGTCGGCTCAGTCGGTATCAGATGCTACATTCAGTCAAATGTGTGGGACAGCCAGCTCTTTGGTTTCCCTTTCACTTCATATACTGATTCTTTTGTGAATATTGGCAGAAACATTCTTGACTATTCACAAAAAGAGATCTGTTTTTGAATATTTGTTGAAATTTTCTTGTATATCTACTGAACCGTTAAGGAATAAATGAAACTCTTCAAGATTAATGTATCTTTCTTGAACATCTGCTGTGTATCTGCTTCCTGTCAGTATTTAAATCAGACTAACTTTAGTTCATTCATGCTTTGCCTGTGAGCGTCACTGGCCTGTGACAAACCTGTCAACAGCTCACAGTGAAACACATCAGACATGACTTCTCTTATTTTCTGACAGACGCTAGTTGGACTCTGTGTTGGCTTTGTTTAAAAACTGTGTTGGACCTGTGTGACCTGTGTTGTGACTCTTTGTTTTGTGGACTCTTTTTTTGATGTGTTGTGACTCTGTGTTTGGACTCTCCCCAAGATTGAGACCATAAACTCATTTGGAAACTGTTCACTGAGCTCAAAAATCAAGTTTACCACTAGACTACAATCAGACTTCTGTTTTGCAGCCAATGGAGCTGCCCATTGCCGGCTGTTGCAGGTTTAAGACACTTCCATGTGGCCTTCACTTAATAGACTCAGCAGTTCAGCCTACAATAACTTTCTTCCTTCCTCTTTTTATCTTCTTCCTCTCAGAGACATTGTGCAGAGATATGTACTACAGTGTATTTTTAAAGTATCTGTATCACACTCAGGGGTTTCACATCTTTTTTTCCCGCTTACAAGGTCTCAATGTTTGATAGATTCACTGACATGTGGCTCGCTTAGCTGTTTTCATCGTGGTTTGTGGTGTCCAGAATTAGATGTACTTGCAATGAACAAAACAGGTACTTCAGGCTTCAGCAGCTTCGTGTGAGTCAACCTTAAAAAGATCAATCTGGGTGGAAGGTTTGTAGAAGCTGCAGTAAACTCTGCCTCAAACTCTCAGATGAATTACATTTGTCTTCCTTTGGGTTCATGCCATGATTCAGTTTTGGCGTATTTCCAACCTACAAACGGTTGAAAAAACAACGGAAAATAATAAGTTCTTGTAATTCAATGAAAAGTTCAATTTAATATTTGTTCCCCTTAGTTGCTAATCATGTCAATCTTTCTGTTCCTGCACATATTTGATAAATAATAATAATAATGATTAAATTGATTGTAGCAACTTCTCATTAATAGACATGTTACAAATGTTACTGGCAGACCTTTTCAACTGCACCTAATTAATAGCCCCGCCCTAAAGCATACCCTGCTTTATGGTCTATTTTACTCTAAATGGGACCATCAGTTACTAAATGAACATCATGCTGTATGGAAGAAGACTGAAACTAGATAAGGATAGGAAACTGTTTACTGAGCTCAAATGAAGTGAGAAGTCGGCTAATTCTCCATAAGACTGCATGGTATCTGTTTTTATTGCATTCAATGGAGCTGCCCCCTGCTGGCCTTGACATAGAATGCAGATTAAAGACACTTCCTGGGAACTTGTCCATTATATGACCTGTCAATGATCTATACCTCTTTAGCGGCCGCTATACCAACCACCTAGCTCAAAGCTTGATGTGATGGATTCTCACTTGACTTCATTAACATGCTGTGTCGAACTGTCTCCACAGGTAAGGCCATCATTGAGAACATTACAGACGCCATCTATGGCAGCAGGAAGACCATCTGTGTGATCAGCCGGCGCTACCTGCAGAGCGAGTGGTGCTCCAGAGAGATCCAGATGGCCAGGTGAGGGCGCTCACATCCAGCAGCACCTCCTGCTTTTATCTCACAACCTCCCGAACGGATCCAGTCCTCTGAATTGTCCTCATGGTCTGTCCTGTGTTGTCTTTGTTGCAGCTTCCGTCTGTTTGACGAGCAGAAAGACGTGTTGATCCTGCTGTTTCTGGAGGAGATCCCGGCCCAGCAGCTGTCTCCCTACTACCGCATGAGGAAGCTGGTGAAGAAACGCACCTACCTGAGCTGGCCTCAGGACGGCCAACACGCAGGTGTCTTCTGGCAGAACGTCCGGAGAGCTCTGGAGACAGGGGACACTGTCGCCGACAACACAGACCTCCTGACTGGACCAGCAGGCTGCTAGCCATACTGTTAGCAAGCTAACATTAGCCAGCTAGCTGCAACCCAGCCACACTGAATAACGTTATAGAGTTAAACTTACAGAGACACACTTACACAGACATGGTGCACATATGTTTAGATTCAGTGTGACTTTCACTTATAGAATATCAGTATCTCTGATGTCCATCGTGGATAAAGAAATCCATGTAGAAATCATCTAAAAAGACGCTTCTCATCATTGCAGAACTGAATGATCAGTTTTAAAAAAATTTCACTCAACTTTTAACAGATTGTTTTGAAAGGTTTTGTTGTCTCTGCTGATTCATACATATACTCCGATCAGCCATAACATTGTGAGCACTGACAGGTGACGTGAATAACACTGATTATCTGGTATTGTTATGAACCAATATATAGAAGCAATTTCCTTTGTATGAAAACCTACTTGGCAATAAAACTCAGTCTGACTCTGATCATTTTTAAGTTTCAACATCTGTGACTGAAGAACAATTAAAATATTTCAATGATATTCCTAAAGGCTTTTCATAAAGATTTTCCAACAGTAGCGTTCACAGTCGGCCTGTAATGGGTTTGTAATATTGTTAAAAATTCAAAACATAGAAGAATATTAACAAGTTATAGTTAGAAGATGAAAACGGTTCATCTGCGTTCTTTGTAGGTCATTTTGATAATTTGTATTCCTGAACTGCCGGGTTTTTAAAAGTTGCTACCACAAGGAATTGTGGGCCAGCGTTCTATCTTTTGGTATCTAAAGTATGGTCTAGTGTATCCTCTGCTAAAGAGATAATAAAGGAAGCATTGAAGCTCCTTTTCTCAGCATTTAGAGAATTCAAACAGCTCTTATGATATTTGCAGTGAATAGAGTAAAACCCAATCTGTGTTTTTAACTTTAACGCACGTCATCAACGTCTCTTTACAATGATTTTACCACATGGCAGTGAGCTCTTTATATGACAGGTTTATGCAACCTGAAGTCATTATTACTCATTCCAATCCACAGGACCTCCGTCACATCATGAGTTTTCATCATCATCATTGTTAAAATAGTAGTAGTAATAGTAATAGTGCTGCTGGTTAACATTCAATATACTTGATTACAAACAAAGTTATATATCAAGTCTAGTATGGTGCACAGGTTTTATTTTTAACGTCCTATTGAAATGTAAAGAATTATTTATTTTTTTGAATCAAAATAATCACATTTTTGGAGGCTGCAACGTGTTCGGAAACTCATGAAACTGTTGCATGGCATGTTTCACCGATATGCATGGAAATTGGTACACACGTATCGTGACCAGACAAACAAAAAAGCTTCTTGGACCCACCCCCAAACCCAACAGGAAGTCAGCTATTTTGTGGTCATTTTTGTGATTTGCACTCTCAACAAATTTCTCCTAGGGAATTGATTGGATCGACAGGTTTTTTTCAGTGCAATCAAATTAAAAAAAGTTGTGCTATTTGTGACTGTGCGTCTGTGGCGTGGTGTCAAATTTCAACATATTGCCAAGAAACAGGAAGTTGTCATAACTTCAGTGATTGTGTCCAATCTGCACCAAACAAAGAGTCCCGCCCTGAACACGTCTACATGCCAATATTCAGTATGTAAATGCTTCTTCTATCCCTGTGCAGAGGTGCAGAGAACAGCAGAGCCAATCAGCTTAATGCAAAAAGACAAAGAGAGATAAGATAAAAGAGGAGAGGAGGAAGAAGAGGATGAACTTAATCTACTTCTCTGAGCGAGGAGAAAAGGCTGAGACATGACTGAGGTCAAAGAACTTTGCATTGATGAACAGAACAACAATTTTTTTAAGGTTTGTATCAGATGATAAAAGTCATTTTATATTTCATGGCTTTTCTCTCAGCTGACAGATTAACACAAAGAGCTCCTCTCTGTCTCACAGATTTAAAGCTAAAAACTTCAAATTTCACTTCACAGATTTGAGATTTCACCTGAATGTAAACATCAGGACTCGTATTCCAGCGGTGGGAAGTAAGTTCAGCATGTGGGTCCAAAATGTTGGACCTGACCGCAGTGGAAACCCGGGGCCTCCCCAGCATTTAGAAGCTGACAGATGCTGACTTGCATATGTTGGACAATTAGCATAATCCGGGTAAAACCCTGGGTACTGAGGTTCTGCTGAACAGCTGCATTACTGCGTGTCTGTGTAAACACGTAGCTAGCTTAACGCTAAGAAAACAGTCCTTGTTGTTGGGTTCTACTGAATTAGGGTACTGGCACCTGTTTTGGTCTAGTTCAGCCACCGGTTGCTTGGTTGTTCCCTTTGGACCGAGCTAGGCTAGCTGTTTCCAGTCTTTATTCTAAGCTAAGTTAACTAGCTGCTGGTTGAACACCTTCAGCAACAAACGAGCACAACAAAAATAAATTCCTTCAGAGTAAAACATCATCCCAGACTGAAGCTTCCAATCTAACTATTCATTGTTTTACTTTTTGTATATTTCTTGTATATAGTCTTGTGTTGTATTATCACAATAATAAAACTTTATTTTAGCCACACAGACACACACACACACAGACACAGACACACACAGACACAGACACACACACACACACACACACACACACACACACACACACACACACACACACACAGGAAGTGTCCCAGTTCAGCCTCAGTGTAATATAACAGACTGTTATTATTATTGTGGGGACGATGATATTATTTACTGTGAGATCAGTCAGCTCCCCAAAGGACAACAACTTTATTACATTCAGAGTTCATTAAAGCTGCAGCGTGTGCACACACACACGCACACTCACACACACACACACACACACACACACACACACACACACACACACACACCACACTCACACACACACACACACACACACACACACACACACACACACACACACACACACACACACACACACTCACACACACACACACACACACACACACACACACACACACACACACAGGATATTACATCATCAGCAGGTCAGAGTGATCATGTGCAGCTGATCAGATGTTTCTTTACATTCCAGTAAAAAACCCAGAAACAAACCGATTGTACAGTGTGTGTGTGTGTGTGTGTGTGTGTGTATAAATAAATAAATAACTCTCAGCCTGGGGGTCGGGGGGCCACTAGGATGGGTGTAAGAAAAGGTTTTCAGGTCTACCTCTCAGCATTACGTTCTGTGAAGGAAGCGAAGCGGACCTGCTGAAGGCATTGATCGAGGATCATTTGATTCACAAATAAATTCTATCAACACAGAGAATTTGAGCAGTGGACCTGGAGGCTGAAGGAATATGTTGAGTTTGATAAACATAGCTATGGCTAGGACTATTTAGCATAAATTAGCCATCCTACCCTTCAGTGTAGCAAAGCAGTGGATCAGAGGGGTAAAGTTTCATTTGACAAATGGACTCAGCTTGAGAGAGCGTTTCATTTGTGCCATGGAGAGAAAAGGAAGATACTTTATCCAAAAACATTGGTGGACACATTTAAAAATCATTCCCATAGATAGGCTCGTACATTGCAGGGTTCTCAACTGACCCGTCTTACTGACCTCTCTTTGGTTCCTTGTTGCCCCTGTGGAGGGCGACTAATACCAGTCAGTGATAGTGGGTCATTTCAGTGCTTTTTCAACCACTGTAGGAGTTGTTCCTCTTTAACTATGTGTTTTAGTATGAATTAATGCAGTGTAACTAGTTGTCTGCAACATTTAATTCTTCAGTTTGTTCTTTATTAATTCTACAGATTAATAAAGAATTCCAGAGAAAATGGCCAAACTAGACCATTGCACATCAAAATCTCCCATCAAGATCAGGTGGCCACACCCCAATCTGCAATATAACTGCTATATAATGGTCTGTTCAGATAGCTGATGAAAAAACATTAAAAGATAAAAATGATTGTGAGAAACTTTCAGGGTCTCCAAACTATTAAAGTCTGTATGATTGTTAAAAATGATAAAAAATACATTATACAGAGAGAATTCATCCAAACATCCTGCAGTTATTGTGTTCATTGTGTTGGTTCATTGTTCGGTTGATCAGCTGTTCTCTGCTGTTGTTGTTATTGTTGCAGACATATGGATATGATATCTGTCTGTTTCTGTTTGTCCTGACAGACTCAGAAAGGTCTGCTGATCCTGTAATTACCCACAGAACTGTTTGAACTGACACTTTTGTCCTGAAATGTCACCTCGTCTCCACACAGCTCGAGTGATCCGTCCTGCTTCGATAATTAACAACATTTTCATTGAAATAACCGCACTTGTTGTCGTCTGTGATGGTGATAATAATATTGTACTGCTGAGAATAAACTGTGTGTTGTGTTTTTTTATCATTTCACCTTCATTGTTTCTCCTCTCTACTTCCTTCTGCAGTAACAGTGAAAGGCCAACAGCGCCCCCCGGTGGCGTCAGTCTCGGACTCACAGTGGAACAGCACACATACAGTTATGAAGCAGTAGTTTGCAGTGGAGGTTCAGAAGGTGGAGAGTTTCGTCCAGATGATCTTTATGGATTATACTGATACAAGCAGGGCTCTCCTGTGGTTCTCCCTTGTGGTTCTCTCCCGGGTTCTCACAAGGTGCTACTATGACTGATTGGTTTCCACCTGTGGCCTTGCTGCTCATTAGTCCAACACTTCTGAAGCTGGCCAATCATTATGCCAAGCCCTCAGTATAAGAAGCCTGAAGAGTTCACTCTCTCTGACACTGTGTACATCCTCGATCGAACGAGTTGTTGCAGGCCGTACCAAAGCACTTATTTCTGTACTGAGGATCATCAGCTGTCGCTGTCATCAGAAACAGAAGAAAAGGTTGTCTCAAATCTCTAAAAACATATCTTCCTTCCCTTTTACCTCCTTCTTGTTCCCTTGTGTCTCTCCACCCATCCCTGGAAGGAGGGACTAAGTGAAGATGCAAAAAAGCGCCATGAGACGCACCCTGCTCTGCTGTATTCTGTGTGAGCTCACACTCTCGGGTTACTGGCTGCTGCCACTGTTGTGATGTATTGGTAAAGCTCTTTTTTAAGATAAGACAGTTGAGCCTTTTTAGGGCCCGAGCAGTAACACTGCAGGTTATTATTATTATTATTATTATTTCAATACTAAATAAATCACATTTTAGCGGCCTTAACATTCAAAAATTCATGAAACTGCACAAAATTTGATGTTAGCAAAATGGATATTATTTTTTTATTTTTATTTTCATTTTGTTTGGATTTTTTCTTCTCAGTTTAGTTTTAGGTTAAATATAAAACACTCAACAGACAAACATGATACAAATGTGATAAATTATAAAAGTGAAGAACGGTGCCTGTCCATCCTGAACAGCAAGTCTACCAAAACAGTCCAAAAACAACAGAGATCACTTCAGAACCTCCACTGGGTCCTTGTTCAATGAAGAGTTCAGAATCCTCATCATCACTTACAAAGCCCTCCACAACCCCCTCTGACCTCACTGACCTCCTGCGACC